CAGTTATGTCAACTGGTTCCCCTAAACTGAGTTGAGTAATTTGCTGTACATTTACTCAGCTCAGTTTAGTGGAACCAATTGACATAACTGAGTTAAGTAAATTCAACGCTTGATTTTTTAGAGTACAGGAAAATACTTTTACTTTCCCAATATTGTAAGCAAATTTCTCATCAATGAAACTTATTGTTACCAAAGTCATTTTCTGTTAAGGTATTTTTTCTTTTACTTAGTTATTTCTTTACAAGTGTTTTATACACCTCTACCTGTTTGTTTGATTTTTCTTTGCAACCTGAGTTTTCATGAGGCCCCTTGGAAAACCCAATATCCATCCTCAGTATATTATAAGTGTTAAACTTCTGATATGACTTGAGAAAGATTCTTGCAAGTAAAGCGTCAATTATTGATTCCTATTATATATCAAGGTAGAGTTGTCCTTGTTGGGATGGAGCTCAACAAAAACAAAAATGTCTTTTGTAAAGAAAGAAATCAAACTGACGGCTCCATGAGTGTGTTCATCATCAGGAGCTTTCATCCTCTACGGTTAGTCCAATGTTCACTTTCTGAATTGGCCTCTTCTGGTGTCATTACCCAATGCACAGAAGCACACCTAGCTTATTTCAGGCAAAACCCCTGTAGGCTTTCTGTGGCAAAACAGCTTTAAGCCAGGAGGGGGTTTTGTATTTTCTTTTCTAAATTTTGTAAAATACACATTAAGCCCTGGGCAGGCATCAGGGGGGTTGCATTACCAGGAGTTACTGTAAGTTTCTCTGTATACTGTTTCAGTCAAGTTAAAGAAAGATAAGTTAAAAAAAAAAGTACACATTGTCCAAAATCTGAACTGCTGCAACAGCAAACTCATCCAAGTATGTGTCAAAGCACTACGAGAAGGGAAAACATATTGAAGAAGGCAAAAGCACACATACTGTGGAATTATTCAGACATTTGAAGCCAAATAATTGATTTTATCCAGGCATACTCTCTTTAATCAAAAAAAAAGGTGAGGCACAGCTTAAATTTGCCTGTAAATCCTCTAAATCTTGAAGAAAAACACAATAAAATCCACTGTATCTCCAAATGGCAGTGAATTAATCAATAATCATGGCAGAGTAACTTTGACTTATTTTTAGAATAGTTTGTTTTAACGCGTCATGAGTTTACGTGTTGTTTGTTCGTCAGCAGTGTGTGCCTGAGCCCGGCCAAACCCTGATCAAACTGAACGAGTCAACAGCTCTCTCGGCTTGGAAACAACACAGTTGCAAACAAAGACCAACAAACAGGACGTATAGACGCGCGTACACTTGGCCGCCGCTAACACCACGGTCACGATGTGTGGTGTCTGCGGGCCCTCGTACTTACATTGCCATCTCAAACTGATCCAGCCACTTCTTCTTCAGCTCTCTGGTCTTAAAGAAAAGTTCGAAGCCGGTGTGCCCCTGCTGGTGCGTCACGTAGAACCCGTAGCACCACTGTGGGTTTCAGGAAGAAGACAGAAATTAAACATGATTTGCTGCACGTGTAGGTTCAAAAATGTGACTTCACTGAAGCGCAAACATTGGGAATATTTTGAAACTAAGCTTTCCAAAATTATTTCTTCTGCAGGTGTTCAGACCCAAAACAAGAAAGTGTTTGGACCATCACACCCTCACAAATCTCTGCCCTTTCTCAACAATATTATTATGATCAAATATTAATAATTTTTTCTTTCCCTTAAAGACTTTTAAAGGGTCTATGGAAAATAAATAGGGGGTGTATTACACATTTTCCAGGCACAATTAAATAACTACACAACTTATGCCAACTTATGAAAGATTTTTATGTCTAAATTGATAATAAAAGTTGTATATTTGATCAGTTTGTTAGAATTACATTATGTACATGCCTAAAAGAAGTTTCCAGCTGATTTTTTCAATTCCATCTTCAATTAAGATGTCTTTAAAATTTTCATAAATTGGCATAAGTTGTCTAAAACGTCAAGAGTGGCAGGGCCTTTACCTTCAGTTGTTATGAAAATGCTGAATATATCAAAAATATACTCGACTTTGCATCTAAACACCTTCAAATCGGCTTCTGTCTCTTTAAGAACCTCCTACCGTTTCAGACACTCCCACTTCAACACATCTTCACAACAGTGCTTTGGGGGAGGGTCTTTCTGCACAACCGTAATATTGTTTAATCACTTCCCAGGAAATGACGCCTTTTAATTTTTACCGCATTAACATGGTGCTTAATCAATAAACTTTGTATCAAGTGTCCAAACTGAAGAGAGCTTTAACTTAAATAACCACACCAAGGAAAAAAAGGACAAACTGTCAATAACACTAACAAATATTTTATTCAAACAATCTTGCATAGATCTATTTAGTCATTTTGACTTTTAGTACAGTTAGTTTTGGTTCATTTCAGTGCATGCTTTAGTGAGATTGAAAGAAAATTTATTCTGTTTAACACTGATTCCTAAAAGCACTACACATTCTTGTTCTTCATGGAGATGTCTGAACTATTCTTGATAATTAAATGTGTAATTATGTATTTCTTATGTACTGTGTTTAAACTCTGATTAAACAGTAGTGTTCACTCTGTTCTGAGTGACTCGTCATGTCAGTACAGGCTGCACTGTTTAAGGGAAAGATTAGTGAAAACCTGCCTTACGCTAACCCAACAGATAAACAAACAGTTATTTCATCAGATTTCAGAATTTGTGTTTAAGACCGAACTATTTGGCAGGAAGGGCCTTCCATATCAGTGAGGTCTTTTACCCCAGAGGGATTGGTTCAGTTAGTAGATTGTGTATAAGAACTTTTTGATTTCCCGGTTCTGGGGAAAATACCTCAGAGACTGAATACAGGTCAGTATTTGGTCCAGCTGAAAGCGGGTTCATGGCCTTATTCATTTGCAATTAAAGGTTCAAGTCTAAAATCTAAATCTGTCTCGGTTTATTCCTGCCTAATCAGTAAATAACATGTTTTCTTACAAGATATAGAGACTCAGAATGTGATCTACTAAAATGCTGACTGAAACCTCAAAAGGATAAACAACAAAAAATAACAAATTAGCAATAAAACATTGATTTATGATGAAAAGACTAAATGCTGAGTAGCCCATCTCATCCCAAATCGTTCTGAGCTTCTCCTAAAGTTTGATTCCTGACAGTTATTAAGCTGCTCTAATGACAAGGTTGGCAAAAATGCTCCAAATATGCTGCTCTCCTGACATAATGTCGTCAACAATCCTCTGTGGTTTTGCAGCCAGTGAGGTCACCAGCCACGCGGAACAACAAAAGTGTGCTGCCTGCTGGATTCGGTCAACATCAACAGAGGAGCAGCTGCAGTGGGAGTTTAACCAGAGTTCAGCTCTGAGAGCACTGAAAAACTTGAGCTGAAAAAAATGAAAATAAATAAAAATATATAAAAAAATTTTAAAACAGAGGTGGTTTCCTTTAATTTGCCACAAACAACCTAAATTACTTTTACAGTTATTCATTAAATATGTAGGGGTCACCTCGAGTGAAGAAACAGGAGTTCCAGCCTCAAAGCAGGTCTCGCACAGGCCTGAGAACTGGCAGGAACGCTGAACTATTATTTTAGGCCATGACGGGTCACTTTACACACGAGGACTTCAGTTCTCTCTAATCAGATATTAAACAGAAACAATCGGTTCTGTTCATGATTCATTGGTTGTTTAACTAAAATGTTTAAGCATTTGTTAATCATAATAATGACATGTCACAAAGAATATAGAATCACTTCTATTCTTTTATCGTGCCTGAAATAGACTGAGTGAAGCACAGAAATCATCACCATGTTTCATTGTGTTTTTATAAATCACTGTTTTATTTTTACTGAAACATCAGTAATATAATTTTGAGTTTTCTTAAGAAAATCTTACATTTATATGGACACAAGTTCAGATGATTATTTAAGCAGAAGGTTTAATTAATCATGATAAATGTTTACAGTGATTTCTTACAGGCTAAAAGGAGCAGAGAAGATATTATAATGTCTGTTTAAACAGCAGAGCAAGTGACCTTCACTGACAGCTGGCAACTCGCTTATCTTCCTTTCCTTTCTGACTCTGGCTTATCTAGTCAACTCTGACTTACTAAGACGGACGCCTGAGACACAGGCAGAGTCTTCTTGCTGAAGCCGAAGCAGCAGGACGGAGCTGTTTCTCTCCGGAGGAACAGCTGGGGCCTCAGGCTTCACCCATCAGCTAAATAGGGTGGCCTGAAGTCCAGGACAGAGGCAAGCCGCTTCATGTCCATCTGGAGACATACGTCTCTCAAGTGTTTTTGAACTCCCTGGGGGGGAGACTTTTATTTTGAAAGGCGACCGAAGCCACAGCTGGAATCTCTCTGGCCCGGCTTAAGCGGACTAAAGTCACCTGAAAGACACCTTTCCACTAAGGACCATTCTGGACAAGCTTCCTGAAGGGTCGTCGGTGAGACAGCCAGACCAGGGGTTCTTAAGCAGACGCACCAGGTAACGCTGACGGGTTCGGTGGGTGACGTGTCAACTTGAAGCTGAGAGCAGAGGGGACGTGCTGAATCCGGTTGAAACACTTTCAAAATTAAAACAGAAACACTAATTCTTCATTTCATTATCTTTTCTTACCTTTACCCTTTACCCTTGCCAACAACCTAAGTGAAGTGCCAGCAGATCGTTAGTCTTAACATCAGAACTGACGTTTTACTGTTTATACATAAGTAATCTGAGTTTTAATGTGAAAGAAATTCGGACGCGAGTTTTACCTCATTTTAACTTAGACGCTTGTTATAAATGACCCACAATCAGGTGTAATTTATGATTTTGTTCAATTGTGTAAATAAATGATTGCATAATCTTTTATGAATCAACTTGAACAGTCTAAGTTCCCTAATTGTGTCACTTCACTTTGCACAGACAAATATTAAAGTAATGAGAAGAAACCTTGGTAAAATTTTCTCTCATAGCTTAGTTATGAGAAGATGCAGGAAAGTTATTTGCATAAATAACTCATTCCTACAAAAATGTTATTTTTGACCCCAAGATAAGTCTTACAGGAGTTACATCACTGAAGGCAAATATTTTTATTTATACAGGTAAACTCATTCAGACTGGTAGTCTGATTTACCAGAGAGTGGTTTATATTTTATTTATTATTATATTCATCAATATGTTCCGGTGAGCAGATGACCAGAAAAGATATGAGTTTTTGTACATCCCGGCCTATTTAAAAATGACTATAACTCAGCAAATTTTAAATATATTGAGTTACAATTTGATATGTCTCCTTCTCAGCACTCTAAGTTCTAACAGATCATGTGAGATCAAGCAAAAAATAAGTATTTATTTTAAAAATCTGGCTTCATAAGTGAGTAGTAACATGAATTATTTTAAGTGATGGTAGGCCTTTAAATCCCAATGAATTCATACAAGTACTACAGTGAGTTACTTACTGTGAATATTTGGTTTTATGTGCACATAAGTAAAGGTGTTAATAATTCATGAAGCATTATGTTGGAGAAGGGGAACCAAAATAAAAAAGGTAAGATGTCACTTATTCAAGCCCAGAAAATTAATTCAAAATTATCTGTAATTGAAAAACACACAAACACGGGCATTCTCCCAAAAAGCACATCAAGACAATGACTAATCATGTTAAATACTAATCACTGTCTTGCACATGTCCCACACCAGCACAGAGCCAAATCACAACTGCACAATAGAGTCAATGATGATGATAATAGAGTCTATTTCATAAGAAAACACAACCCATTCTGGCGAGCTGTCAGGTTCACATTAGCAATCAGCAGCAGAGTGAGAAGACGCCATCTGTGGGCATCCATCAACAAGACATCAACAAGTCCCTTCCACTACAATACGGCCTGCAAACGTTCCCTCAAGGCGAAAAACAGGAATCTGTAAAAACCCTTTGGGGTGACAAAAAGAAGCTTTATAACGTTCCGAATCTGGGTCTTCCAGGAGAGAGGAAGCACCTCTGACAGAACAGGGAAGAATAATGTGTTTATTTCCGTAGTAAAACCTTCACCAGAGCAGATGTTAAACGAGAACTCTGCTGCTCTATATTTTGAGGATGGATCCAGTCAGCATTAAACTTTGAGATCAATTTTAAAATGCAAGATAAAGTGAGGAAAAAAAAAGTTAGTTCCATGTTTACCTTCTTGACTTCTCTGTCAGACGTGGGATTGTTGGTGACCTTAAAGAGGTTCAGGTCCAAAATGTCCTTCATCTCATAGTTGTCTCCTCTTCGCTTGCAAACAATGGCTGCCACATCAAATAAAAAGATATGTCTGTGAAACAGGAAGAGAGTTTTGTTCAGGAAAAATAACTTACCGACAAATGAAAAAAGTTAAACAACCTTTATTCACTGAACAGGCTGTTCGTACAGTTATTCACTGTCTGATATCCAACTTTAGCTTTCAGGACAATAATGCTGAAGTAAAATAACCTGTCTTGTTTCTTCTTGTCAATACTGGAAACCATGCGCACCTCTCCGTCTCCCTTTGGTCGACCGAAAGTGATAAGTGGCTGGTTCTGAAATCAAAAGGGGCATTTTCAGAGGTTATACAGACATTTTCTGCACTGCCAGCCTTTTAAAAGTCACTATTTACAAGAAACGATTTAAAATTTAATGTGCGTCACGGTTGTCAGAGTAAAGGAAAGACAACAAAAAAATGAACACAACTGTAATTTAACATCCTAGAAATTTGAGGCTAATATTTGTAAAAATGACCGAGTTTGGTCATTTTCGGGATAAAAAGTGGAGGTGAAATGCGTCTTTTACATCACTTCAGTTTTTTGTGCACAGTGTTGTAAACTAAAGGAAGGAAAAGGGAAAAAGCTGTTTTTAAAAATCCTTACATTCACGGGTACTTGGTGTTATAAAGAAAAGTTCAGAAAAAGGTCAGAAAGCCTGCACACAGAAAAAGGAAGGCACGAGTCCTGACAAGTTGTGAATCTGTGGTTTTACAGCTGAATTTTGTGCACTGTCAGCTACAAGACTGCAGTGGGAACAAAGTTTGTGGAAACTTAACAACAACTTTAAAACTGCTTGTTGTGCCACTGATAACAGGCCAGACTACTACAGGTAAGTGTTTTCATCTAAGTATTCATAGTATTAATGCTAAGATGTATAGGTATCAAATCGATACTAGCGTAATGACATTGATGTTTTTGTTTACACTTTATTTGCACTGCTGACTTAACTGACATGTTTTGCAAACAGAATGACAAATACTGACTTTATTTGTCACAAATAAGTTTAAAAAAATGGCCGGAATAAAGACTAAAATGCCTCTTCTTCATCATCCCCGCATGAAATGGAAGGTATTTTTGTTGCGTTGAGCATTGTTATATGTATATTTATGTTACATTGTTGCTTTGTTATTTTGAAAAAGTGTGTAATAAAAGGTAAAAAGGAAAATATTGGTTTATACCAGGGATGTCCAAAGTGTGACCCGGGGGCCATTTGTGGCCCCTGAACTGACTTAGTGTTGCCCTTGACTTCAGTTCAAGAATTATACTAATTTTTTACAAATTTGTCCCCCCGGAACAAGTGTTCGATGTGGATGGAGACTTCATTTATTATTAGGGCAAATTTATCTCAAAGTAAAATCTTATAACAAATATTGGCAACAATACCAATTATTTGTCTCTAAATAACCAGACTCTTTTTCCACATCTATCTCGTGACTTCTACTGAAAAGCTGATTTTGCTGCACTCCAATCTGCTTTAAATTCTTTTATTAAATTTGTTTGAATACAGCAAGCATTTTCAACAAAAGAGTGACCTAAATACTGATTTTATTGATCAGAATTGACTAAATTGGGTTATTTTTTCCCCAATTGAAATTTAGAAAATTGCTAAATTTCTTTCAATAAGGGAAACCTGCAAAACACTTTTAAAGTCCAGGATCTATATTAATTTATGCATCCATTTCCAGCAATAAATCTGACTATTTTATTTGTTTAAATTAAAGTATTCAATGCTTAGTTTATTGTTGAGCAGGTAAAGGAAAAATATCTTTGGCTCTCAAGTCCTTCTGACTTTATGGTTTTGGCCCATGTGACAAAATGTTTGAACACCCCTGGTTTGTCCAGTTAAATTGTTTTGTATTGCTATTTTTCTTTACCTAAAATCTTTGTCCTGTGTTTTCTCATAATTGATAAACTAAAGGCAAAAATCACAAAATTATTCAATGAACATGATGTTTCAAGTAAAAGTATCAGTAATGAGTTGGAGTTTTTGTTCAGTGGGTGGAGTTTGTCCAAGACATGATGGGTCTGTTTCACTTTTGTGTGCGTAGTTTGTTAAAGATGTTTGCAAAGTTTGTTTAAGAATACTAAAGAAAAGAGTTACTATACTTACTATAAGAAAAGAGAGCTTTGATGTCCTTTTCAGGGGTGCCACCGAGCCATTGGTTCAGATATGTTGACGACACCTGGGTTAAAATTAAAGCCCAGGAAGTCCAACATTTCACTGATCACATCAACTCTGTGGATGAATATACTAAGTTCACACGAGAGGATGTAAAAAATGGCAGGTTGGCGTTCCTGGATTGCGATGTCTCGGTTTCGGATGGAGGACGGTTGGAAACCGGCGTGTATCGTAAGCCCACCCACACAGACCAATATTTGCATTTTGACTCCCACCACCCACTGGAACACAAGTTAGGAGTGATCAGGACTCTGTACCACAGAGCAGACAGTGTCCCTACAAACCCAGGAGCCAGGGAGAAAGAGAAATCACACACACGACAGGCCCTGGAGCAGTGTGGTTATCCTGACTGGGCTTTCCTGAAAGCAGACAGGAAACACAGACAGGATTCCATGCAACCTTCAGGTGAAAATGAAGACCCCAAACCAAGAAAACCAGTGGTTATTCCGTATGTTGTGGGTGTTTCGGAGAAACTGAGACGTTTATTTTCTAAACATGATGTCCCAGTAGCTTTCAAACCCCAAAACACATTACGGCAAAGGCTGGTTCACCCCAAAGATCCGGTGCCCCGGCACAAACAGAGCAATGTTGTATATGCTGTTAAGTGCCAGGAGGACTGCGACCAGTTATACATCGGGGAAACTAAGCAACCACTGTTCAAAAGAATGTCCCAACACAGACGAGCTACATCTAATGGCCAGAACTCTGCAGTTTTCACTCATTTACAGGCCAGCGGTCACTCTTTCAGAGAYGAGGATGTTCTCATTCTTGATAGAGAGGAACGTTGGTTTGAGAGAGGAGTAAAAGAAGCCATTTTTGTGAAGAAAGACCGTCCATCATTAAACAGAGGTGGAGGCCTCCGTTTTCAGTTGTCCCCCTCCTACAGTGCGGCTATTGCCAGTATCACTCCACCCCCTGTTAACAATAGGTGTTAATTAGGTGCCAACGATAGCCATGTGATGTGAGCATCAGTCACATGGAAGCAGTGCTTAAAAGCCTGAATTTTGCCTGAAACTCTCAGACTGAAGAAGTCTCTTGGAGGAGAGACGAAACGTTTCATTAGAGAAGAACCCGTCCAGAAGACCTATACAATTTTTTTCTTTTTGATTTTTTACCTGGATTACTGAGATGCATCAGGACATTTAAGAATACTATTTTGGGTAGTTTGAAGAAGCTGGGTTGGTCAGTCTGGACAGCTGCGGGGATGTGTAGCTTAGTCAAAAAGGACAGAAAGCACCTGTATTTCTAAATATAAATAATAATTTTATTAATCGAGACAGGAAGGTGCTAGCAACATGAAATTTGAACGCCATACATGTAGAGGAGTGTAATAATTCTGCTTAAGTTCAACCAGTCAAAAGTTTTGCCAAACTCCGCCCACCCAAGAACCTCTGCCTATATTCTAAACTTTGCTAATCATGGTTAGAACTGTAGAGAACCCTACTTGTCTGTATCGGCGATGCTATCCCTATAATTACTTGGTATAGGATCAACACCAAAATTCCTAGTATCGCTCACCCCTACTGACGAAATCTGCTAATCACATCCTGTTAGTCATGATGTCATGCTCAGAGATGTGAAACTGCAATAAAAGTGAATTCTGTTTATTTCCGGTCATCAGAAACAACTCATTTCTTGTTTTCAGAAACAGCAGGTTTTTCTTCTCTAAATAAAATACAACATTTTATCCAGGGTTCACAGCAGATCACAGATATGCAGGTTTTTATGTATTTTCTGTTTGCCCTGATCTAGTTTGCGATCCTCGCAGTCAAGTGATGAGTTTCATATTACATGGAGCCTGACCAAACATCTCAAGCTGAGATGAATGAAACATATTTTTTCACATTACTTTCCATATGCCTGCAGTTACGTTGGGCTCCGTTTTTACCTGATGTGAGGGAGCAACTACATATTAGCTTCAACGTCAGCTGTTTTTTTTATTTATTTATTTTACAAAGTGAATGACTGTTAGGTTTACAGTATGAAACATTTATGCAGCTATTTAAGTTGTAAAAATGTGAGCAAAATTGAATAAGCTTTTTTTTAAAAAAAAAAAGGAATTTCCACGGTCATTTTTATTCTAACAACGTGCGCACTAACACCTGCAGATGTTTGTGGAGAAAAACATTTTTTGGTTTACCAGGTTTTCAATAGACCTCTGGTACTGGTCGATCTCCCTCAGAGTCTCGTTATCTCTCTTCACTTCGTTGACGTACTGAGCGAGGTCCTGGACAGCACACACACACACACACACACACACACATACACACACACACACACATACACACACACACATACACACACACACACACATTCCATTAGATTATTTCAATATGAAAACAGTGAAACATGTCAAAAGTGTATACTTTGTGTGGTCGAAGCATGGTGCAGAACCCTTGAAGAAATAGACAATACAATTATTTAACAATAAACTTTCTTGATCCTGTGTTGGATGAATCTATTCAGTTCATTTATAATGAGGCTGTGGCTCACAGACAAGCAGGTGAACATCATAAAAGTCAAATTACATGATTTGAAATATAAAGAATTGATAGAAAACTGAAATATATTTACTTTACAAATAATAAATAGATTATTAGTTTTTGTTTGTTTCAATGGGCGGTATGACCTCAAATTCATATCACGGTATAAATTGAATCCCTTCACGGTAACGGTATATATCGCGGTAGAAAATTATCATAAAAAGTTCAGATAATGTAATTTTTAGAGCTTTTTTTTTGCAGAAAATTAATCTTAATCAAACCCAGCATTTTTGCTTTAATATCTGCCTGCTGAACTTCTCAGCTGCTGCTCTGCTGCGCGCTCATCTTCATCATCTTCATCATCAGAGTAGAAGCCGACTTTACATTTACAAGATGGAGTTACGACTGAACGAACGTCCACGTCTTTTTTTAAAATAATTTCTGTGGGTAACAATACATAAAACTTTTTTTCTCTGACAACTGGGTGTGAAAAACTACAGTTGTTAAAGCTCTGCTCTGCTCGACGTGCAGCGGGGGGGAGGGGAGGAAATGATCTCGTGACACGACATAACTTCTCTACAGCGGGAGGGGGGAATTTTGAGGATTTATTCTCTCTATACGTGTTTTAAAACGCTAGAATTTCATCATTATATTTCAAACTCCTGCTCAGTTGTCTCTGCACTCGCAGCCATGTTGACACAGGCGCGATGACTAATGACGACAGGATGGTAGAGGGTCAATTTCTACCGTAGGCCAAGTTCATACCGTTTCTACCGTCTACAGCAGTATTTCCCAAAGTTGGGGTCGGGACCCAAAGTGGGGTCCCGAAACATCAAGGTGGGGTCCTGAAAAGATTTTCTGAATTAATGACATTTTTGCCTTAGTTGTTACAAAGGAGTGAGGTTAGTATATTTAAAATGGATAAATGTAGTAAAATAAATATTGTTACTATGCCCATGTTTAGTTGACCTGATACAAATGTTTATCATCCAAAAATAGTTGGTGGCACAGGTCTCTGCTACTGTTATTTTGTGGGTCAAAAGCTGAAAAGTTTGGGAACCACTGCACTTTGGTTCCCAAAGTTGGGCTTGGGACCCAATAATGGGTCATGAAGCACTTTGGATAATCTCCAGAAACCAATTTAAAGGGTAATAAAATAATTGCTGATGTAATATTTTCCCTATAATTATTACAAAAACACAAAATAAGTAAAAATAAGTATTTATATTTGTGTACAAGCTGTTTAGATTGTCAAAAAGCCTGTGTTTTTAGGGTTATTAACAAAGTTTTTGTACTCAGACCAGTAATATTTGGGGTCACAAGTTTTTGCCATGGATATTTTGTGGGTCAGAAGATAAAAAGTTTGGGAACCACTGGTCTACAGCATATACCGCGCAGCCCTATTTCAATGTAGTCATATTCGGGTTTTATATATCTTTCTTTTAAGGTAGTTATATTCATTTGTGGGACATTACCTCCTGCACAGCAACACAAATGTAAAATTGGATTAAATGTGGTAAACAAAGAAAAAAAAGTTAAACATAATCTAAAAATCCATAGCAAGGTTTTTGGTGACGATGGTGTTTTTGCACATCTGCGTGGGTGTATGTTACCAAAAACATCTCCTAAACGGTTAAACCAGTGCTGCCCAACCCTATTTTCATCAAAGCCCCACCCATTTCTTATTTCCAAGCCAAGCTGAGACACCCCCTACCCCACCCCCCGGATCCTTCGCTACTCCCCACCTCTCCCAAAGACCCGTTCAACCTTTATGTCTTTATCAAAATAATAAAAGCTTAACATGAATAGTTACAAACTTTTATTTTGAAAAGTAAAAAAAAAAAGTGATACCAAGTTGTAATTATACAAATAGACTTGTTATGGTGATTTTTTTGAAAAATATAAACAATAAATTAGTATTTTCACAACCTCTGAGCAGACCCCCCCACCACCCCCCACAAACATAAGATGAGTTTGTAACTCTGGGATGAAAGGTGGAGGCTTTACGCATTTTTACAAGGACCGTTCAGCATGCTTTTATTTTTTGTATTTTTGGTTATTGTGTTGTTGTGTAACAACAAAACCATCAGAAAACCTTTAAACTGTTTCATAAGCTGATAATTCAGGTTTTGTAAAAAATAAAAAAAATAAATTTACTGTAACTCATGTTAAATGTTAGTATGTAAATTAAACATTCATTTAGTTTTTGTCACCTTAATTGGCGGCAGCTCGCCTGTGGACCCTACTGACTTCACTTTGAATATAGAGCCTCACAGGAGACTGTTAAGGTGTTAAGTTATTTACTTGTTGGGTTATTTTTTTACACACTGGTTGCCAGGTGCACCGATTAGCTGCTTATAGAAGCTCAGAATAAACCTCAAGATGGGTAATTATTGCAGCCAGTCCTCAGTAAAGTGTAAATGTTACAAACTCATCAGTTTGTGACCGTGTAAAGCAGCAAAAGTCACTCAGTTTTTAATGAAATCAAAGCTGACGGCAGAGCGGCAGAGTCTGTAAAGTGACGTTATCTGCAACAAGCTGATCACAGTAAAACATCACAACATGAACCAAAGAAGCACCACGCTTACTTTCATGGCATCGAGAGCAATCTTCAAGTTGTTCTTATCAGCAGCATCATGGGTGTGTTTGACTAGTTCCTGTTAGAGACGAAACCAGAGTGGATATCACACATTCGCATTTAAGCAAGTTGTGACGGGTTAACATTTTAAAAATAAACATTTAAAGAACTTTGTAATTGACATGTATGAATATATGGTATAGCTTAATGATTTTTTTTCTTTTCATTTAAAACTACAACAAAATTTCCTTTGAATTTGAAGCCAAAGTAAACGTATGTTTAAAGTGAAGTGCCGGTTTGGCTCAGTGGAGAAGACTGATCAGCAGATTAGATGGCATTTCGAGATAATCAGCGCTCATTGATTATTGCGTGACACCGAGCTCCTATTCTTCAGCGAGGCCAGTTAGTAACGTCTGCACATATCTGCAGCGCAGCAGCTGTCTCGTGGTATCCACCAGCACAAATTATTTTTTCTTCTGCAAACGAGACAGCTATTTATGCAATTAGAAAAAAAAATGCAGTCATAATAAAGTCATAATGTGTAATTATTGACAAACTGATGAATTCTACGATGTGAAAAGCAATAAAAAACTAATTCTACTTGTATGTTACTCATCAGCCACGTTTTTAAATAATTGTGTGTCATTGTATTAAAGTAAGTACGAGTGACAATGCTTAAGAGATGATTTCCTCTCTAAAAGTGTTCCATAATAAAAGCTGAATCATTCGCCCCACCAACTTCCTTTTCCCTTCATCTCTTATTGCCCCCCCACACACAGTTCCTCCTCAGGGAGGTTATGAGACCCCCTTGAATCAACACCATTTACCACAGAGGCCTTTACCCTCTACAACATTTTAAAGCATCTCTCCAAGCATTGCCCTTTTCTGTGCTGCCAGCTGTAATCTGACCTCTGATTCATAAAACCAGGGGAGGCAGCAGAGGTGGGGTGTAATTTATCAGTAAAATGGGGGGGAGTTTGAAAGGCTAAGTGTCTGCTGCTTCCTGGAGGAAAACCAGAGAAAGATGCAAGGAATCACACCTAACCAACCTGCAATACATTTAATATGTATCAGCTGAGGATTTAAAACTGTATAAAAAAAACATTTAAAATGAGACTTTCAGATATTGTTCTGCAAAGATGCCTTAGACAATGAGATAGTTTAACAAAATGGAAATATTTATAGTATCTATGGTCAAATTTCAAAAGTAAAGCAGATGCAAGTTCAACAGTGATTGTTTGCCAATTATTTTAGAGCAGCTGAAACAATAATGGGAAATAGAAACAAAACAAACATGTGGAGGATGTCTCCCTCTAGTGGTGAGACAGCAAATAACAGTCTCTTTCTTTCTTTTTCTTTCTTTCTGTCTTTCTTTCTTTCTTTCTTTCTTTCTTTCAAAGATTTTGCTTAGTAAAGTGAAAAAAACTAAATTTTATTTCCATTTGTAAATTTTAATTTGTCTTATTTTATCAATCAACATGAACTTAATTAAAGCTTTTTTATATACAAAATAAAAGTGAAGGACAGTTGAGGAAAAAAAGCTGTTTTCAGTTATGTGACTCAGCTGGGTTTATTTTAAGATGTCTGGTAAAATGAACGCGTTAAACTGGTCTACCTGCAGAAGAAGGTGGTATTTTAAAACTCTCTGCATCGGAACAACCAGCAGATCCCTCAGTGTGAACTTCCCATTGTTGGCCCTTTTGGAGCACTCCTGAAAATAAAAAACATGTGTAGAACAATGCAAGTTATTTTTATCCTCATAGAAACTTTTAATTTTATTTTACAATAAATTTACTTCTCATCAACTATTCATTTCGTTGGATATTAATGTAATATTTTAAATGTTCTGCATTTTCCTTTTTAATTCTCAAATACAACCAGCATTCAGTGAAAGAGTTGCTGTTTTCTTTTTTTTAATTTGTAACATCAAAATAAAATAAATCCTCATCATCTATTCTAAGAAGGGTGTAATGCACCACAACATACACAGGAGGCCACTACAGCTTGTGCAAAATGAACAATAAGGATACGAGGCGGCATTACGATTAAGTCTTTAAAAGTTTTACATCTAGTTTTAGACGAACGTCCTCTTTCTCTTTGCAGATGAGGTCTAAGACGGCGATGGCGATCTCCACCTGACTGCAGTATATCCCATAAATGAGGAGTCTATAAGTCAGAATAACAGGAAACATACTGGGTTAGATACAAAATACTTATCATATTTTATTAAATGCTATCAGCTTAAATAAAGCTTAAATTAAAAAAAATTGGCAACATTTTTAAAAATTCTTACATTTCAAACTGGGCTGTGTTGAAATAAATGAAAATCTAGCTACACAGAAATACTGTATGTCAATTATTGAACATTCAAAAAACCTAAATCTGTTTTAACTACTAGAAACAGTAAAAACTCTGCTCTGGCAACAATTCGTTTTGTACCTGTCTTTGTAGTCAATAAAGATTTGGTAGAGATTTAAGGCGTTTCTGTTCAGGATGGAATCCTGCAGATCGACCATCAGGCTCTTGTGAACTTTAACCAGGTCCTGATTGGACGAGAGAAGCCAGGAACATCTGAACAGGTGGGTTTTATTAGCATGTCACGTAGCAAAGACGGCCAAATGATCGTGAAACTTACAGGAATGTTGACAAAGATTTTAGCAATTTCAGCTGCGGAGAAGAATTTCTTCAGTGGATTCAGGAAATACTGAAAAAAAAAGACCAAAAAAAAAAACATTTCAACCTTATAGCTTTTTTCCTGGTGATTAATACTCAAACTGAAAATTTTCACAGACAGATGGTTGATGAAGTGATATTGAGGCGAATTGGGGGAAATGTTAAGAAATTTCCCTCAAATGCCCCAAAAATCTCAACGTGTTGCACTCAGAGTGCTCTGTTCTGTGGTAAAGATGATCAAATTTGATTTAACAGTCTCATACAGAAATATTTGCATTTTCTTAATTATTTTCATCGGCTTGTTTTATAAATAAACTCGACTTGTGAACGGCGCAGAGGAAATGAGTGCGACAACCTTCTCAATGGACTCCAGGGTTTCTGTGTATCGCTCTTCAGTCTGTTTGATCTCTGAGAGACAGCAGCTCCGCACATCCACCTCTGCCTGCTTCTAGCAACAAACAAAAACCAAAGGAAATGCTTTTTTAAATAATCTGATAGAGAAACCAGATCTTTTCAGGATATCTGCAAACAAGAAAGTCAAAAAGACTGCGTGCTTCTGAACAAAAGCAAAGCCGTTTTTTGACAACCTTTAGGTGTAGGAAGAGTGTGGGGAAATGGCCAGAAAATATATTTCATTACAAATAACGGAGCATGAAAAAGAAAGCATCATTTAATTTGAGGAGTTAAAAATCAGTGATTTTTGGAAGCTTGATATAAAAAATTGGGTTAAATTTTCTTTTCAGCTTGTATTAAACCACTTAACTTTACCAAGTTAGTTAAATATTTTTTGACGTTTAATACAAACCTGTTTTCTGAAAAAGGTAGCAGGTCCAAATGTGTAAAAGTTTGTTTTTTCATACTTATGTAGCCGCGTTCCTTTTCATCTGAAACACTTTGCTCTTGTGACTGCTTTGAAGTTTAACCTCCTTTTCAGGGCCTGAGTCAAACGTGAAAGTAGCACAACTATCAGCAATCTGATTGGCTACTTTAACTGACCTGCTGGACCTGTCCAATCAGTGTGTGATTTGTATTTCCCATAGTCACACACACGGGGATATTTAAGAGTTTAGTGTTTTGATTTATAATAATCACTGACAAGCTCTGCAATCATTTGTGAAAATTAGTTTACCAGAACACAACAGATTGATTTTTATTCCTTGAATTAGTGTATATAGCCCTGCAATACTTTTTAGAATAAGATTATTTAACAATTAAAAGAGTGTAATGTAAATGAAGAGGATAACTCTTGGCTACTACCTCATTAAACTTTAGCAAAGTATCTCTAAAACTGATTAATTATAACCGTCTTGAGGTTTGTAAAAGTTGATGAGCTGCAGCAGCCATCTTGAATTGGAGTGACTTTAAAAGTTAATCATTAAAGAGGTAGATGTAGGGATTACTTTCTGAGAGTTTTGGTAAAAGCTTTCCATTGAATCATGAGATATTTTTGCTAAGAGTCTAACAAGGTTGTCACCAACATGTTAAAATAAAATAATATATGATAATTAAGAGGCAGTAGTGTGGCTGGGTAGGGTTAGGGTTAAGGTATGTACTGGGGTGGTTAGTTTTAGAGTAAGATTTAGGTTTTAGAAGTGAATAGAAGTCAATCAACATTCCTAATAAGGATAGAAATACAAGCTTGTGTGTGTGTGTGTGTGTGTGTGTGTGTGTGTGTGACTCATTATGGTACCAGTGTCAGTTGCGGCTCCGTCTTCATGAGGTCTTCATAAATCTCCCCTCCTGCATACTGTTCTTCCAGCCCATAGACTGCCGCGTACAGCTCATCCTCATCCTCAAGAGCATTCTCACTATCACACACACAATTAATTAAAGACTCTAAAATGTGCACATCAGTTGTCACATGTACGTTTTTTTCCCATTTGCCTAATGTTAACTGTTTTAGCTTCTATCATCTTTTTAATTAGTCAACTACTCAGTCACCATGGGGGGGAAATGTGGTTTGAAATAGTGATGTTGCAAAAAAAACATGCAAACTTTTCTAAAAAAAGAAAACAAAAAATGGACTTGTATTCTGTAGTTGAAGTCTTCAGCTTTCTCCAAAATCTGGAGCATGTGGAGTTCCAGGCTTTTTAAACTGCATGAGTTATGCAACCTAGATTCACATGCAGATTAAACTCACTCCCCTCACAGTGGAGAGTCGTCGGGGTGTCGAAGCAAGATTTACCAAGAATGCAAAAACACGTTGGAATAAATGCACAGAAAGTCTGCGTGTATGGTCATCAAACGATTTAATCTGAGCAACAACAAGCAGAGGTCAATCAGGAAGTCTGTCGTGTTGTGGCTAGCTCCTTAGCGGAGAGCGGCCGATAATATAACATCATGTGACATGCTTACAACCAATCACAGATTGCCAACTGTAACCACTTAACCAATGACAGGGCTCTCAGCCCAGAAGCTACCTTATCAAAATAAGAGAGGTCATGCATTGCTGGAGTCTTAAAGTCTAGGGCCGATAGAGTAAAACAGCCGAAACTAGTTAATCATAAGCTATGATTACTGGACAGTGTCAAGGTAGAACAGATATAAATAATTAGTCCATAACAATGGTTGGAGTTCTTTACGTCGAATGAGAAAAAAAACTACTTTAAAGAGAGGAGTTTGCAGATATCGGCTTTCTAAATCCTACAGTGAAACACTGAGCCTGATACCCAGCCAGTTTCACTCGAACTCACTGTCATGCAGGTGCCAAAGCAGCTTTCTTGTGAGTCAGGCTATCAAAGACCCCAATCAGTTTCCATTGCAAGGGGCATGCAGTTTAATCTGAATAAGAATCTAGGTTACACACAAAACTTCAAATTCTACGTTCTCATTTCATGAATGGAAAAACTACCTGGATAGGAAGTAAAACATCTTCAACAACAGAATAGAAGTCCAGTTTTGTTTTTGTTGTTTTGACCTCTGGAGATCATGGATGATGAGAGCACCAGCTCTGCGTCACGTTCTATCAGCGTCACTAAAGCGTCCGCAGAGAGGAGCCTGAAACTCACTCAATCAAGTCTGCCAGGTTGTTGTAGATGCCCTCGTCTTTAAGGCTCTCCTCCATTGGAAATGGTCTGAAAGTGACAGCAGAGCTTCAGCCAGTGGTCAGAATATGAGAGGAAAACAAGTTTAATGTCTTCATTTAGATAGTAAACAATAGCAACTTTTATACTTAGAAAACCAGGAAAGGTCATACAAACTAAATTGTGCAAATTTTGAAGAAAAAATTAGACATTTTTAGCATCAACTCTTCATATTCATAAAAGCTGATACCGAAGCTGTTTGTAATTCTGTTACTAGGAAGAAAACTTCAGTACATAAGTGATTTAAGCAGTAAATGTACATTTGGAGAAAAACCTTTTTGGTCATTTCTGGTAACAAAGCAAATGTTTTGCTAAAGTGGAAATTTGTGTTTGACTCATGGTTGTTCTTGTGGCTTCATGGTTAGGTGTGAAGGAGCAGGAGGTGGATGGAGGAAGGAAAGGTGCGAGCTGGAGGGGGTTTAAGGGTCTTTTCTGTTTAAAACAATATAATTCCATTTAAGAAAACGTACTTGAATCCTCCTTGTTGAGCCACTGTCGTGTAAGAGAGCTTAGAAAGCGTGTCCATAACCTGGTGAAACAAAGTAGTGAATAATTTCAGGAGTGTTTTTAAGACAGAGATTCATGTTTTTCTTAGGTGACACTTGTTGCGTTTAGCAAATCTGCCTGCCTAACATCAATAACCATTGTTTGTGAGTTCAGAAGACATGTCATGAGCAAAATCAGCCATCGAAGCTAAGGATGAGGGTTCCGGCTTGAATCTACAGAGCAGTTCCCCATAGAACCCTGAAGGATTTAATCCTTACTTTTAAGGTAGACATGAAAATAAGAAATTAGCAAGAGAACTGAAAGAGGATCAGGGGCCACATGGGGTTCAGACAGATTCTAACTGCCTTACTACTAACTTGTCTATGACTGGCAGAAGACCACACTTCCTCCTGAGCTACAACTGCTGACTTGTTCGAGTCAAATTCTGCAAAGTACATTGTCCTTCCAAAAAAAAGATTAAACTACAGCAGAAATTGTTTCAATTAAATGAGGTCCTTGAAATACGAGCATGAACAACGGTCTGCAATCTTTATTTCCTTAACCAATCCTTCGTAAAAAAAAATTGCCCAAACGGACTGTAGCTAACAAAGTCCTTCTTTTGTAAGTCTCAAGTCTTTATCCTCAAGTCTCAAATCAAGACAGACAACTGTCAAGTCAAGTCCCAAGTCTGAAACTTGCAATTTCAAGTCCTTTCAAGTCATTTTTGTTACAATGTTACAGTTATACAGCGGGTAAAATAAGTATTGAACACATCAACATTTTTCTCAGTAAATATATTACTAGAGGTGCTAATGACATGAAATTTTCACCAGATGTCGGTAACAACCCAAGTGATCAAAAAGAAAATAATTGTATAGGTCTTCTGGACGGGTTCTTCTCTAATGAAACGTTTCGTCTCTCCTC